AATATTGGCCTGACACACTATGCATGAGAACACCCTCCCCAAGAAAATAACGAATAGCCCTATTTGAGAATAAAATAACATGTTTTTATACTTGTATAACTTGATGAATAATCAAAGTAAATACCCCGATTCTTTCAAATATCGATACTTTTTTCTACGAAAACTGTTTTATTTGGCAAAAATTTGAAAATAATCACCAGTTCGTAGGACTTATCTGATTCGGTTGGTTTGAATGATTTTGCCTCAAATAAAACGTTCGGTAGACTTGGCTAGCTTGGATCATTTGTTGCGTCCTGTCAATAGAAACTAGTATCTGGTGTCATCACTGAACGAACTATAATCTAAGAATGTTATTGTTTATGTTAATGAATTAATAATTATTATTGCTTCAAATATCACACATACCTATAAGAAAAAGAAAATAACACAGTTGGGTCTTTACTATTTATTTATAGTTTTGTTCTGACAGTTCAAAGTAAATTACTGAGGACCATGCAGTGTTATCAGTATAACACCGAATGATTGACTAGAATAACGGATAATTACTGTTAGATTTTAAGTTACATTTGTATTACAATATTCTTAAGTGAATCTTTAATAGTATTATCTCGTTGTATTGTATATATAATAATTATGTATATTGTTTATGATTTTTTATACCAATATCTAATTTAATCTTCTTGACAGAAAATGATCTGTTTGTCTTGTATGGTTGTGATGACCACCTACTATCAATTTGGAGAACTTAATTTGAATGCTTTTGAGACTGAGAATAGATAATTGTTCAACCCCTCTGAACACAGAAACTGGATAACTGGATATCATCCAGCAATGAAAGATCTTCAAAGATAAGTAGCTCAAACTGAATTAGATGTGGAAACACTATTGATTCAATGATATGTTTCACTGACATACATTTTATAAATGTAAAACACTTTATAGAATATGATCAGATAGTTGTCTGATTTTATAACATCCCTTTCACCCCTCTTTCACTCTCTTTATCAGAATAATCTAAATTCCAACTATAAGAGCTCTTCAAAAAGATAAAATAGATGATAAGAGAGTGTCAATTATTGTCACTGACATACATTCTATCTAGACCACTAGTAGTCATATCTTGGCAACACGAAAATCTCTCCTGAATTGCTCGACTGAAAACGTTTCTGCTCAATACGCATGAGCCCCCAGACTGTCATTCATGACAGCGAGTAATGTTTCTTGTTGTTCCGAAACATAGGCAAGAGTGAATAAGATATATGACAGGTTTTAAATGCGCAGGATCTTCACCAGTTCGATCTCCTTCTTATGAATTCAGCGGTTTAGATTGTAGTGTATGTCGGTGGTTATTGTAGGTATCCATTTCATCCCTCTCATCAAGAAAATCATAATTCAAAGTTAGAGCTCAGAAAATGAAATACATGAACATGATCAGATAGTTGGCTTCATATTTGTTTAATAATTCTTCCATAAAAGATCAAAACTCGAATTTCGAAGTGAATGAGGCGTAAAACGAATACTACAAATAATCATAGAAATATCGTATTCATTAGCATTTATTCCTGACCGGGATATTATGAGCGTATATCGTCATAGTTACGCTATCAATATAAAGATGGTCTTGACTAGCTTGAGACATTATAAATTCTGTAATTCCCTCTACCTTTCACAAGTAAAAATGAAATAAGACATGCTAATATACCGGGCGTCCCTAAAAGGTCTTTACAAAAACTCACCATATATTCCTCTGATCTAAAATATCCGATACGAGCAAACTTACCCCAGTACAAAGTTGCTTAGTTTAGGCGCTAGACGGTTCTGAAGTTACAATTTTCAAATAGTTTCTGCTTCATAACTCTGAAACAGCTCACGAGATCTTACTCAAATTTGGTATGTTGGCATTGCTTTATTGGACAATAAAACGATACTATAATAATACGATGCGAAGGTACTGTCGGTTCGAATCCGGCTATCGGCTGAGCATTTTTCTTTAAAATGTGTGATTCATGGTTGTCATCCTGGCAGCACCTCGATGCCCTAGAAGTGGTTCAGATTCCACTAGAAGCTGTAGGTCCCGCTCTTCCTAACCCCGTACAAGTTTCAACTTCTGGGGAGTTGGTTCCCAACTTTGAAGTAGCGATGAACAAATTTTGAACAATTTTGATGAAACGTTTGTTAATCATTTCAGTGTTGACTGATGCTTTGAAATACTGAAATTCAAATTTTGCAGAAACCATGAGAAGAATCGATTTCAATCAAGAGTACATTTTTTCTAGATAACAAGTTACTCATTCTGAATTTTATATTCAAACCCCCTTATTTCCATTGGCGTTGAAATTTTATATGTTCAATTACTGATAAAAAAAATAGGTTCTACGGCCAGGGAATGATATGCATAATAAATATGATAAAACCAAATTTGAGTGAAATCCCATGAGCCGTTTCAGAGTTATGAAGTAAAATCAATTTGAGAATTTTAACCGTCTAGCGCCTAAACTAAGCAACTTTGTACTGAGGTAAAATTGATCTAACCTAATTGTTTTGGTCTGAGGACCTTTTAGGGAGACCCTGTATATAATATGTATTATATACAGGGTGATTCATTAAGAATGAGAAATCACTGAACTACAAGGTGCGTTTTTTTTTGGTTTCCCACTGGTGGCAGTAGAATTTACTACTCATAAAACGATGTTATTCATTTTTAGAGTTGTGACATTGAGCATCTTCAGGTTATATAATAATACTATATTTCCGGAATTTTGCTGTTCATCCGTACATAATTATAATTTATAATAGATGTTGTTCCCGCTTTCTGGTTATCCTCCTTAGTAGGTGCATCGGTTAGAAGGCAACATACATTGATAGTTATCGATGGAATTGACCCCTTGATACTTGACAGGATTTTATAATTGCATGAGTCGGAAAGTGGTACGCGATGGCAATTGCACGAACGATGCGGAGCGGAGTGCGGGCAAGTCGTCAAGAGCGGAAAAGACATTTTCCGCAAGAGTTCTTCCTACGAGTGTTTTTGTCCATATTATTAATGAAAAAAAAAGTTTTCAATTAACAATATTTTATAATGATGCTTCAAAATGACACAGACAGAATAGTTATAGTTTATCCAAAAACAATTGCAGAATCTCGTGCCGCACCTGCAGTCACTTCAAAGGAAACTTCGAACACGCCGACGCCGCACAGTGCGGGATATTCTGCAATTGATATTGGATATACTATACTTGGATAATTTAGTTAGTAATAAATATCCTTATTTTCAACAACCGTGCGGAAAAGCACCTTTTCAGCACTAGTGCGGTAAAGTAACTTCCGCACGATATTTTCATGCACTGAAAAATAATGAAATAGATTTTTTTCCATCGATTTAATAGGAAATTTATTTGAAGAACATTCAAATAACAATAACTAAAACATCAACGATGGTGAATATTGAAATCGAAAATGCAATTTGTGTTTGTTGCTTGCTGTAATATAGCAAATGCCGCACCATCTTGAAGAACGTCGTTTTTTATTCGAATTTGCTTGTTCAGTGTTTGGCATCAATTATTTTCGGGGGGAGATCTTGAAAGTTTCCTGAGTTATCCACTTTTTATTTGGAATTACGTACACGAAAAAATACCACTCGAAATGCTTATTTGTTGACTGCCACTACTGTCAGTTTATAGCGACTGTTGCTATGGGTAAGTTCTGGTGCTAACAGTTATCACCACATGTCTCCTGGTATTTCCTTCGAAATCGCGCGGAAAAGTAAAAATAATGCGGAAAAGTAAAATCGCACGGAAGTGTACAACTTTCAGAACGAAAAATCATGCGAAAAAGTACCTTTTCCGCACGCTCGTAGAAAAAAAATATTTTATATTGTTTGACTTGAAATTTGAAATATTTTTTGGATAGCATGTGAAAGAGAGGTGAAACGGATGCAACTAAATCACATAACTATCTCTTCATGTTTATGAAAGTATTTCACCTATCCAAAACTCATTTAGTACCTACATGACGAATCTAGCACGGAAATTTCAACATGTAGATTCATTCGTCGCTATTTCACAGTGCTCTACCCTGTAGTAGGCATGTTGCTGCTATAATTTTGTTTCATCTCTTGGGGCGCACGAAAGGAATCCCTATAATGTTCGGAGAACATCGTGCATACCTAGGGATGATAGGGAGAGGAGGAAGGTATTGGATTTTTCCTGAACTTTTGGATATTAAGTTCTTGGGAATTCTTCCTTTGGTAAAGAATTCCAAAGGTTTGCCGTTCTATAGACAAACGGGTTCTGGTAAAGATTTGTTCGACATATCTCGAAGTGCACGAAAAGATGTGCTGGCTGGGTTTGTCGAGTTCGTCTGACTGGTATTGCTAGTGATGGACTGATAGCAGAAATTTCTGAGGAATATTTACCGTGGGAGTATCCATAGAAAATTGAAACGTCGTAGTCTTTCCTACGGTGTTCTGATGATGCCAATGAGTTAGTGAGTCTGGCATCACCAACCAGGCGAATGGCTCGTCCAACCGTCATTGGCTCGTCTCTGGATGGAATCTAACAGCATCAGCGTATTTTTGGTTAATGAACTCCATAAATGAGAATTGGATTGTAAAACAGACCGTACCAAGAGTACCAACAAGAGAGTGTGTCCAAATCTTAACTCGCTTCAGTTATATCGGGAGCACGACTAAATATCCAGTACAAAAATATCCTGTCAAAAAAATCCTGCCGAAAATAACCTGCACATTAATATATTTAGACAATGATAGCCTGCCCAATAAGATTTCCATTCCTCAGTGAAATTATTATAATGATTTTATAAAGGATATAAATGATAAGGTTATTTTCAGCAGGATATTTTTGACAGGATATTTTTGGACGGGATATTTAGTCGTAGACCCATTATATCATTTCATAATTTCGACACTTGAAAGGTGTTGATAATGTAGAATATCAAAATGATGAAATCATGAAATGTCTTATTAGTCTGATGATTTTTAGGAATCCAACTTGAAACAAATAATGGACCATGAGAATGAGGTTATCAAAGACACTCAAACATTACACTCGGATATGCAAACATTGGTCTATGAAAATTATAACAAATTCATCTCTGCAACGGATACCATAAGAAAGGTAGGTACCTACAAAGAAGCAAACCAGAGGTAAGTATGATCATTTACTATGGCTACATTCTGTATTTAGCTTTCAGCAAGATCAGTAACTACAATGACTGCTGAAATTCTACTGATTACGTTATAGATGGTTATAGTATGGTATCCACAGTGAGAATTCTTTTGCTGAAATCACCGACATAACCTACTATCTCGACCGCTAATCGCATATCTCAACGACCAGAGGATCCAAACGCATTCATGACATCGACCTATGTCATTCGGTGTTCCGAATTATGAGTTAGAGTGAGTAAGATATATGTCAGATCCTAAATGGCCATGTTTGAAATGAAATCCAGGTTGATGGAATAAATAAATAGTTATTGAGCTTTTGTCTTTTGGCATGCGCGGTCTAGATAGTAGTTTATGTACGTGGTAGAAATTCGTAACAAATTCTACAGCACATTGATTTTTTTCGTTAACTGTTTTTCAATGTTAATATTCCTGTAGTCACTTGCTCCCAATATTAATGTTCCATATGATGAATGACAGTGTACTACACTGTAGTAAATCAATTTCTTCTTCTGATATTAAAACCCTCATTCTTCACAAAACGTATCTGGACGGTTGAAGTTTTTTGAGCAATTCACGGCTATGCCTTATCGGTACATGAAAACTTCTGAACCAACAATACATTTTGGTAATTCGTTGATGTATCAATAATGTACCTAGACTGGAGCCCTGCGGATCTCCATGTCTAACTATAATTCTCTGTTTGATGTCTTGTTATTGAAAATAACGTATAGTCTGTTTAATAGGTGTAGAGGTTTGCTTCGGTTTTGTTCGTGTTGTTTTGCATCACCCTGTACCAGCAATCAGGAGGATCTAGAAGTTTCAGGTTGTCAAGATAGATTTTTATTTGAATAATTGATTTTGACATTGTCTAGAATAATCTGAATATTTTAAAAGGAAATGCCATCGAATATTTCGTAAAAATAAAAGATATTCAATTGAAGAGACCATTGCTTTGGTATTATACCTATCTACTTGTTCCTGTACACACGTCCCCCACATAATTGGTGACCCCGACGCTGAACCCTGAAACGTGGAGTCATATACCGTTACCGTTACTGAAGCTGGATTATCTCCTGATACAACGCAGATAAAGAAGAATAACATCCAAGCACCTATATCGAAGCACACGCTTGAGAAGAGGAATGAAAAACTGAATAATCCACCGATTTGAGAAGACAAAAATTCCATCGTTACAGTGGTTCATCTCAAGCCCGGTTCTTCGAGAACATACAAGGAGAAAAGGACAAGAAATCAAAGTATTTACTTCTTACAATTATTTCGAAAGTTATTTATTCTATTCATTGATCTATTTATTTATTTGATTGTACAATTCATTCATTTCTCACGAATCTTTCCAAAATGCCCTTAAACAATGAAGGTTCGGGTGATGCAAATCCTGATAGGAATAGAATTGAACAGGCCTCAACCTCCGTTAAACTGCCAGCTTTCTGGACACAATGTCCTGAGGCATGGTTTCTTCAAGCAGAGGTTCAATTTAATTTGAAAGGAATAACTCGCGATTCCACTAAATATGAACATGTCATATCTTCTTTGCCGCAAGAAGTAATCATGACAGTTTGGGATAAAATTCAAAATCAGGATCAAAATTATGTTCAATTAAAAAACACTCTCGTTCAACGACACACAATAAGTGAAGAAAAGAAATTGGAAGAGTTACTGTCTAACACAGAAATGGGTGACCGTAAACCTTCCGAACTATACAGGGTGTTTCATAATTGAATGTCAATATTTGGGGACGCAATTCTTGGGCCCATTCTAAGAAGAAAGTTTCATATGAACGTATGACCTAAACATCCTAACTTTTGAGATACAGGGTGGTGAAGTTCTCAAAAATTAATAGTTTTTTATTAATATCTGTAATACCACTTCAGATATTCTGATGAAATTTGGCATACATGTACTATGTATCAAGAGGCATCAGTTAGCGTACCACATTTTTTGTTGTTGCCACCAGTGGCGTTCGTATGGAATTTCACATACCTATTTTGGCAGACATTGATGGTACGCCACTGATTAATCTCCAAATTGAAATCATTCCTGAAATTCCCGATCATTTCTAAGCAAATTTGATCACTACAATTTTTTCAATCTGATGCACGGTTTTCGCTTAAAAATAAAAAGCTTTTCACTACATGATTATAGTAATATTGTTAATATGATAATATCACAATGCAGAGAAATAGTTTTTATTTTTAAGATCAAATTTCAGAAATACAATTCATAGTTCATGAACTTTGTATTCGTATTTGGTATTTTCGAATTATAACTTCTCATTGTAGTAGGCTATATTAATTTTCGAGAATTTTACCACCCTGTATCTCCAAAGTTGGGACGTTTAGGTCATACGTTCATATGAAACTTTCTTCTTAGAATGAGCCCAAGAATCGCCTCCTCGAATATTGACATTCAATTATGAAACACCCTGTATAGGTCGATGGAAATTTTAGCTGGAACTTCATCCACAGTTGGTCGAGAACTTCTCAAACAACTTTGGATGAAAACATTACCAGCTGTTATCAATATTGCACTCGTGTCATCTGGAAAGTCAGATATTCAGGATCTGACAGATATGGCAGATAAAATTTGGGATGTATCTCAACCACATCAGATTTATGCTATACAGGGTAAATATTCAAAAAATAATAATAACATGCCTGTGGAAATCATAGAAATGATAGCAGCTATTTCGTGTAAATATGATGAGGTACAACATGAAATGGCCGATTTGAAGAAACTATTACTAGAAGACAAAATTAATCGATCCATGCAGCCATCATGTAGTCATCATCATGATTACAAAAATAATAGTCGAAATTCGAGTAGATGTTCTAGCCGGAGTCAGAGTTCAAGTCGTAGTAGACGTAATAATGATTTTAGTGAGAATGGTCCTTTTTGTTGGTATCATTTCACATATGGCAGGAATGCTAAGTGCAAACAACCATGCAAATTTGACACGAAAAAAATAGTTACTGGTGATGATTCAAAAAACTGATGACTTCCATTGCCTCGGCGACAAGCAGTGGGAAATTCGAATCTCGTCGTCTTTTTGTTAAAGATAAGTTCAATAATCTAAATTTTTTAATAGATACAGGTGCCGAAATTTCTGTAATACCAAATGATCATTTGAAAATGTACAAAAAAGATCCAAGTATAATACTCTCTGCTGTCAATGGCACGTCAATTGATACTTTCGGTACAAAACTATTGAAAGTTGACCTTGGTCTTCGACGTGATTTTACTTATCCTTTTATTATAGCTGCAGTTAGTAAACCGATTATCGGCGCAGATTTCTTGTCAAAATTTGGACTATCAGTTGATTTGAAAACGAAATGCTTAATAGATACATGTACTTCAATCTCGGTGAATGCTTTCATGATGAAAACAAATTGTCCCTCTCCAAAAGTTTTTTGTGTTGAAAATGAATTCAGTAAAATTTTAAAGAACTTCCCATCAATCACATCTGCTCCTAATTATAATCTTCCGGTCAAACATAATACAGTTCATCATATACTCACAACAGGAAATTTACCTTTTAGTAAACCACGTCGTTTAGATACAACAAAATATAAACTTGCCAAAACAGAGTTTGATCATATGCTGCAATTAGGAATTTGTAGACCTTCATATTCTAATGTCGCCTCACCATTACACATGGTCCCCAAGAAACCTCTGACTGGAGACCATGTGGAGACTATCGTAGATTAAATATTGTTACTACACCTGACAGATATCCTCTACCACATATTCAAAATTTCAATATGCATTTAAACGGTTGTAAAATTATTTCAAAAATAGATCTGATTCGAGCTTATCACCAAATCCCAGTAGCAGATGAAGACATCCACAAAACAGCAATTACAACGCCTTTTGGGTTATTTGAATTCACTCGTATGCCATTTGGACTCAGAAATGCTGCTCAAACATTTCAGAGATTCATGAATGAAGTGGTATACGGGTTGGATTTTGTGTTCGTTTGTCTAGATGATATCCTTGTTGCTAGTCATGATGCTGTAGAGCATAAGTCTCATTTAAATATTTTATTTCAACGATTAACCGATTTCGGTATAAATATAAAGCCCTCAAAATGTGAATTTGGTGTTGACAAATTGAATTTCCTGAGTCATGACATTCCTGAAAGTGGAATCCTACCTACAAGAGAACGAGTCGAAATTATAATCCAATTTCCAAAACCTGATTCAATTAAAAAATTACAAAGATTCATAGGCATGATAAATTACTATCATCGTTTCATTCCTAAGTTAGCCGAAAAACTCAGACCTCTACATGAATTATTGAAATCAAAACAAAATAAGAAGACAAACTCAAAATTTGAATGGTCTGAGGAATGTGAAAGTGTTTTCAGAGACATTAAAGAGTTGTTATCTTCAGCTACATTGTTAGCACATCCTCTCGAAAATTGTTCTCTTAATCTAACTGTTGATGCTTCTAGCACTGCTATTGGAGCTGTGTTAGAGCAATATAATGGAACTGTTTGGGAACCATTAGCATTTTTTTCAAAAAAGCTCACTGATCCAGAAACTACATATTCTGCCTTTGATCGTGAACTTCTGGCGATATATTTATCGATTAAACATTTTCGCTATTTTCTGGAAGGTAGAAAATTCGTAGTTTTCACCGACCACAAGCCATTGGTTACAGCTTTGTTTACGAAAACTGAACGTAGCCCGCGACAAGCAAGGCATCTAGAATACATTTCGCAATTCACATCCGAAATTCAGCATATCAAAGGTAAGTTTAATGTAGTTGCTGACACTTTGTCTCGTTTAAGTGACTACGTGGTTTCCGAATTCAATATCAAAAATATTGACATAAAATCTATACAAGAATCTCAGAAGAATGACGGAGAATTACCAAACTTGTTGTCAAATCTGGATGAAAATTCGACAATAAAATTACGAGAAGTTGAAGTTCCTTTTTCTGATGCTAAGTTATGGTGTGATGTTTCTACAGAAATTCAACGTCCGTACGTTCCGCAAAACTACCGTCTTGCTATTTTCGAGAAATTTCATAATATTTCACATCCTGGCATTCGTACCACGCGAAAATTGATTAGTACTAGATATTTTTGGCCTCACATGAATTCCAACATCAATAATTGGACAAAAACTTGTATTCACTGTCAAAAATCAAAAGTTCATCGGCATACAAAATCTGAATTAGGAAAATTTGAGATTCCTAGAGGTCGTTTCGAGCATATACATATTGACATAGTGGGTCCATTCTCACTATCAAATGGATACAGATATATACTCACAATTGTGGAACGTTTTACAAGATGGCCTGAGGCTTATCCTATCAAAGATATAACAGCAAAACGGTAGCTGAAACTTTGTTCTTGAGATATATTCCCCAGTTCGGAGTGCCCCATACTATAACTGCGGATCAAGGTAGCCAATTTATCAGTAAAACTTTCACTGAACTCACAAATTTACTTGGTTGTCATAAGATCCATACTAATACCTATCATCCACAAAGTAATGGGATGGTTGAAAGATTCCATAGACAATTGAAAGCTGCCTTGATAGCGGGACAAAACAGTTTAAATTGGAGCTATGAAATTGCAATCATCCTATTAGGATTTCGAACATCCGTCAAAGAAGATTTGAAATGTTCATCTGCAGAGTTGATCTATGGTCAATCTTTACGAATACCTGGTGAAATTTTTGTATCTTCGAGTCAAAATTTGAACACATCGGAATTAATTGAAAATTTGAAACATTCATTTTTGAACATTCAACCAAAAGCACCACGTATGTATGCCTTCGAATAGTAATGTTTTTGTACCTAAGGATTTAGAAAAATGTGATCATGTTTTCACTAGAATTGATCGAATAAAACCTGGTTTACATCCACCATATGAGGGACCTTTCAAAGTTCTACGACGCACAAGGAAAACTTTCTATCTTGAAAAGAATGGTAACGAACTAGCGGTGTCAGTTGATAGAGTTAAACCTGCTTATGTTGATTCCACAGTTGACAGTCATCATGTGTCTCAATCTAAATTCATCAATAAGAAGGTAACTTTTTCGATTAACGCTTTTGCTGGAGGGGGAGTACTGTAGAGGTTTGCTTCGGTTTTGTTCGTGTTAGTTTTGCATCACCCTGTACCAGCAATCAGGAGGATCTAGAAGTTTTAGGTTGTCAAGATAGATTTTTATTTGAATAATTGATTTTGACATTGTCTAGAATAATCTGAATATTTTAAAAGGAAATGTCATCGAATATTTCGTAAAAATAAAAGATATTCAATTGAAGAGACCATTGCTTTGGTATTATACCTATCTACTTGTTCCTGTACACACGTCCCCCACAATAGGTAGGTGGTTTTTGAGTCAATTCAGGTGATCTCTAATACCATATATTTCAAGTTTTTTATCAGAATATCAGGTGCCATGCGATCAAATGCTTTCGATAGGTCGTAAAGCACTGCGTTAGTTTGAACATCTATGTCTCTTTGAGGCAATAATATTTGTTATTTCAGTTACTCCTCAGGTACCTAAGATATGTGAAACAATGCTTTTTTTCATATAATATATTACTCCTCTCGAAAAAATTCAAGATACGTTCTACCACAGTCACTCCCAGAATTCCCTTTGATGTTCGAGTATAAAAGCGATGCGTCTCATTAGGGTCGTAGAAAAAAAATTGTTAATTACCGGGGGCAATCGGAAAGCGACCACATGCGTTCAGCGCGTAGAATACTACCAGGGATCTCCCAAATGTTTGATTGCTGATAACTCTACTTGGATTCAACATAAATTAATTGATTAATCATTATTTATTATATTGAGGAGGAAGCATGAATGTACATATATGACTAAATAGTATTTTTATTTCAACATAATAATGAGGCATACATAATAATGTGACTGATACGTATGCACAGTATGGTGATATCCAAAACGATAAGGGATACAGATTCGGTTAAGTTGCACATTCATGAGTTGAATTGAATGAAGATTAATATTTTTTGAAATCATCGTTTTTCATTCGAGCCGATATTACTTTTCAATATTCACATGCTGTGCATCTATATCTTGAGCAGTGTGAACTAACTTCTTATCAATACCAATGAAACTAAGTGGTTTAAACAATTCAAATTCCATTTGACTCAAAATTTTAATGCAGGTGCTGTCAAGACAAATGATCACTCAACATCTTCATCAGGAATCATTTTGAAATTTTGGGACTTTGTATATCTCCATACTGAATTTTCGCATCATGAAAGATTATACAGGTTGGGTAATAAATAAAACAAATTAATACTTTCAACTTCAACATCCCGTATATAAAACACGAAGGAAGTCAGGAAACATGTTTATATGAACTTTATTTCCTGAAATATAACAAGGAATCAACCCTTGAAGTTTGTCGCACTATTATAATTATTATTACCTACACCTTGTATAGATCGCGTGAACACATGAAGATATATCCTGTATTATCGATAAAAAATAACTGATAATTTCAACAGCATTTTAGTAACATTTTCTCTCAATTGAATTTGTATTAATTGTAGGTAAATATTTTCATACTTGTCCTCATCCAATAGACATCTAATGAATGGGAATCCTCCACTCAGTCTACTTCTGCAGCCTTCAAAAACACAATACGTTATAGACGTATTATCTAATTCACTCGATCCACTAAGTATGTAGCTGACTGAGGTTCGCCTACTGAAACCTACTGCGGTTTAGACGGGTAAGGGGGAAAGAGGAAGGTAGCTGCGGCACATTTAACTGCATTCTGGGGAGTGACTTAACACACTTAGACACTATGAGGGTTACGGTTATGAACTTGAAATTATCTGAACTGTTTGAATATCCTTTCTTCAGAATGGGGCAAACCACTGAGCCTCAAGTTTCCAATGAGTTAATTCCATCAAATATCTCAACTTCACAAGTTATTGCTAAACATATTGAATCTTTAACCCCATTGAAAAGGAATATTCTCAGATGAATTATGAACATACAAAAATGTATATATATATAGGAGAAATTTTGGATGTTCATCAGATATATTTCGTTTTTTGTTGAATATTCAGAATGATGTGTTCATATACATATTTTTGTCTGAAGGAGAATGCAAATTCTCAATTTCAGAAGATTTTATATTTCATTTTCGAACTGTTATCGTGTGTGTTCAATAAATATAATTCAATGTTCGTCGTGGCATATAGCGAGGAAAGTAGTTGTGTTCTGTTGAATAAACTGAAAAAGAGTTGATATTCTCATCACATAGAGAATGCGAATTCTCAATGTATTGCTTTATATATATATATATCCATTTTTTTTATGTTCATAATTTATATGAGAATATTCCTTTTCAACACTTCCATACCCAATCAAGGGGTTCAAACTTGAACGATGGAAACTTGTCATTTTTATAGACCTCTAATCGCAGATTCGTGATAGAGTCTCAATTCAGAATTTCTTTCCACGCCCTGTATGATGAATATTAATTTGTCATACAACCGAAAACTTTAACCCCACTTTGAAGTTATTGAGACTCATCACTTCCAGCAGCCTCTTCTTCTCTGCAGGGGTGGCCGGTGCATAAACCCTTGCCCTCAGGCCTCTTCAGTCGGGCCCATTGTGCGCCCACATGGCCTGTGAATCAGCTGGGCATGCCAATTTCAATGACGAAATTCAGCAGCTTTTGCATTTCCCAAAAAGATTGAAACACCTCAAAGTAAAAATACTATTCAACGAAGACGTCTACACAAATCTAAAAAAGGTTTACTACCAACAGCCGAGTGGCATCTTTAAGCTCCGAATCGATGCGATGTTTGGTGTCATTTAAATGTCAATCTTTCATTTAAAAATGAACTTTGAGGCGCACTACTATGAATTAGTTTTTTATCAATGATCTTATTAACCATCATATAACGGGTTAGGTACCATTTAATCCGTTTTTCCATGGATTCGAATTTGCTCTCTTTTAAATTTATGTCTTCACTTACTAAGACTCCTAGGGATCTTCTTGTTTCGTTAGTATTATATATAAATCAATGGAATTCTTGAATATCCCCATGCTCACTAAACATTGTTTCTGTTCATTTCAACATCAACTTCGAATCGAGGCTTTCTCCGTTAATCCTAATGATTATTATTGCTCTACTGATATTTCCATTTTATTTCAGATGAAAACGGATTTCAAAAAGATGGAAACAGAGATGGACCTTCTGGCATCCAACATGTCTTCTATCACATCATTTTCTGATCAAATCAATTCAACTCTTCATGATACTAGAGAAAAGATAAACAAACTATCAGGAGTTCACACCTTACTACAGAAACTACAGTTTTTATTCAAATTACCCACAACATTGAAATCTCGAATGGAAGAAAAGAATTATATTCAAGTAAGTTGAACAAGAAATTTTAATGGATTTACTTTTATGTAAATAATGAGTCTATGCGTTGTTCGAAATTGTCGAATTTCAGAGCTCATTTCAAACGAACCCTCATGGCCGCCATTTGGCTATACGTCCAATAAATGGTGACGTCAGTTTTTATGCTGTTTCGTTATTGGTCAGATAATCTTCCATTTCCACTCATGAAGCAAGGTTCTCAAGTCACAAATTATAATCAAGTTATCAAAAAGATGTTAGAGTCCTGTCGTTGAATGAAACATAATAGGCGAAACCCTTGAGTGATATTTCATTCACATTACCTGTCATGGTTGAAGCTATTAATTTCATTTCATTGTGTTCAACCGTAACGTAATTTCCGTTTGGGTACACCTCCCCTACCTGCCCTTGGGTTTATTATCCATAGTTGGTTTAGGTGGTTGAAGGTAAATTTGAATATTTGTTTTCAAATGATTTTTTTTTCAATTGCATTTCGTCGTTGGACCCAGTACTGGATCCAACGCCCCATAAGTCGAAACTTGTGCGGGGTTAGGAAAGCATACATTTACAAACATCCATTGCCTAACTGGGATTCGAACCCATGCCTCGGTGGGAGTCCCTATACGAACTCAGCGCCTTCGCGCTCTCGACCACCGGGCCGCCGGTGTGAATTCAAAAATAGTTGATGTTGACGTCATTATGACGTAGTTGCCTCCCACCACCTTCACCAAAATACTCAAACCGGGTTTAACGGGGAATGTGAATGAAATATCCATATGATATTATAGTTCATTCCTGACTTTCATGTAACCAGCATGTCCAAATATTTCTCATTTTCCATAACAAAATATCATGTAAATGTTGGAGACTGCAACATTGTGCTGAATGCTGAGAACTGACAAGACCATGCCCACAAGTCGTGCACCGTGTTGTCACGTTCACCGATTCAAATGTCCTCTAGTGTGGATTAATATAATTATTATTTACACAAATTCATCATAAGCAATAAGCCACAAATTATAAGGGAACATTTTGAGACAATTGAATTTGTATTGATAATTAGGAATATCACCAATAGTCTATTGAGAATTTATGAATTATTGAATAACTAATATTTCGGAAGTTCCCAATCGCTCTTCCTAACCCCGAACAAGTTTTGACTTCTGGAGTGTTGGTTCCCAACTTTGAAGTAGCGATATACGAATTAAAATTGAATTGAAATTTTCAACACATGTCAACTGTTCTATGGTCTGCCCCTTCTTACGAAATCGTTGCGTCAATTTTACTGACGTAAATTTCTTGCCGTTTGAAAGTTACCGTGGAATTATTGATGATTATAGCACCTAAAAATCGACCGAAAAATTTTGAAAAAATATGAAATTGGAAGGTATTTGAGTGATTTTATTTAAGAGGCCATATGCCACTCGAAATTATTCGAATTTTGTCAGTTTTCTGTCTTATCCCTTCCACTTCGAAAGGAGCGGGATCAACCTGAAGAATTCGTAGAAAGCTAGCGACACCTTGATTACTTTTTGCCGCTCACTGACAACCGGTTGATTATTCATCGAAGACAGTCAAATGGTATTATAATTACTAATATTTTGAACTTTTGTCAGTACCTATTTGATTTTTGTCGCAGTGATTAGATATTTTGTACATATTTGATAATTGACCAATAGGTATATGATGATTATATTATCTACAGGATATTTTCGAAATCAGAGCGATACATACCAAATGTATGGAATGATGTATTTTTTTATCGCTGGGAGCGCATGGAAGGGAATCCGCATCTGAGGAAGATAGGGAGAGGATTATTTATAACTTTTGGAGAACATACCTGAGTGCTTGGAAACACTTCAGGCAATGAATCCCAGAATTCCCAGAGCTTTGCCGTTCTACCAGACAAACGAGATTGGATAAAGTGCTGTTCGACATATTTCGAGGTTGACAACGACACGATGTGCTGGCTTTGCTTGTCGAGTTCGTCTGACTGATATTCCTAGTGATGGAATGATATCAGAGATTTCTGAAGAATTAGGTCTATAGAAGTATCTATATGGAAAAGTGGAAGGTCGCTGACCTTCCTACGGTGTTGTAAGTTTTGGTGCTGAACCCCATATGTGAGAACAGGATTCTAGAACAGGCCGTATCTGTGCTTTGTAGTTTATGAGAACTTGATGAGGTGTAAAGTAGCTTTTCGCGAGAGACGAAAATCCGAGTTTTTGTGGAGCAGATATCGCGCCAGTGGATCTGACCTGATTATGATTATCCCCAGGAAGAGTTTTGCTGATTTAAATACCGAGCATAGTTATAGTGGACTTGGTGGGAATGGTGGCATCAGACATTGTTATATCAGGCACTAGCTGACCTGGCAAACGTTGTTTCGCCATAAACATTATTTCTAAAAAATATGTTTTCAGTTGAATATGTATCAGCACACTTTTTTCATCTTCTACTTTTCTTCAGTTTGGCTATCCATAAAAGCGTGTTTCATTAGTTTTTCAAACTGATCTATTTATTTTCTACTTCTTTTTACTTCGGTAATCTATGTCTACATTTTTTCAAACTTACTTCTTCTCAGTTCGGTTATCTATAAAATCGTGTTTCATTAGTTTTCAAACTACTATTTATATTGCAATAGCTGACCCGGAATCCCACATGCCTGTACACCATAATTCTAAGATAGTTCACTCCTATCGGGGGTAACGTTACTCCTCGATTGATTCAATCCATTTTGATACAAACATAATATCGTAACCACTAGGCATGCGAGTATATGTAGTGTCCATCTCATTGACATAAGTAGGCTATCTAATTTCCATTCCTCTGATGATTCTGCTGTCGACAAGTTCCGGGATCATTCTATCAAAATAAAATTATGATTCCATTTTGGATGACCAGAAATCAATCATCATCTCTAGGAATAACTTCCGCTTTCATGCCATTTCGAGTCCAAGCTGCAAAATAACAAATTTATTCAACAAGGTGTTGTCCCTGGATTAGATGAATCCAATTGTGGTTTCTGTTAACTTGGCCATCTTCATTCCAAAATGTTATTTCTCTTTTTGCTATTCCTTTATTCAGAGTCAGATATTTGGCACTATTATAGGGACATTGAACTTGAATAATTATTTTGCCATTTTCATAGTTACTCCAACAGGACTAGCAGTAGCAGTAATATATTCTTCCAATTCTGCAATAGTGAGATGTTCATTCTCCCTAAACCGACGATACTACATTTGATTAGGTTTTTTCGGATATATAATTCTCTAACTAACCGTCTGAGAGGTGCAGATTTTTTTCTTGCATACCCCTCCAAAGACTGACGGTGATTCGTTCATTCTATCTTCTTTTCACAGCTTAGACTCAGTTTGATCTGAACTCTTCTATACATTATTTTCTAGATTCTTTGCATTCATTGGAATGAATCCATCTCGGATTCCATCTATATATTCGATATAATTATTATTATCTATGGGACATTCCTCTGTGGATTGGTAAATCAGTATTTCATTTATTTTTCTTTTAAATCTTGGAGTACTCTTTCGCTCATCTCTCCTATTCTATAGAAATGGCGGTATGACGAAGCACCTGTGTTTTTTGTTGGCTCAACTTTGCATGGAAAAGTCTATATATGTATAGTAAAAATCACCCTGATACATTTAATAATTTTATCATGTTCCTTATATCTATCTATTTGTTGGACTATAGGTACTTGAAATATCGTTTAGAACATTCCAACACTTCCCTGTTTTCGAAGAATTAAAACAAATCTATTATCTGAGTAGATATAACACAGGTTCTTTGTTGATTCCATGATACCTATATTCATTATATATCAGGTATAAGTCTGGTAGGTTTATTGAACGAAATATAAATAGAAAAAAATTCACCAAATCGGTCAAAAACGCACTACTTTACAGGTGTTTATAAATTAGTCTATGTAATTAAATGAAAATCCATTTGATAAGATGCATCGATTCACCTTTGACTACCCAGAAAAAAAATTGAGCCTCCAGGATGATCCATAACCATAGGGGAACTTGGGAGCGGTACCTCTTTTATTGGCGAAGGCGCTGCGGAATATGCCCTCTTAAGAAATAAAAAACAAGTAGTCCACTCGCCTATTATTAGAGAAAACACAGGTTTATAGAAAAAGTGGATAATTATTAATCTTTATTTCAGCCAAGTAGACAATTAAATTGAACATGAATACCCATCATTTTCTCTAGTAGTTTCTGTAAGATTATGAGTTGAATATTACAGTTTTATACCCGAACGCATTTTTTGTAAAGAAGTCACAAATATTCAGTGGTGTTGGATTAAACTTTTTTCAAGCATTCCTTCAATCACATCAACAATAATTCAACAAACAATTATGGTGCAAAACACACCCAACAATAAATAATGTTTTAAAAATAAATAAGCTTTCTATCTGACATCTCTTAATTATTTTATAGTTAATAATTTTATATCATGTAATTATATCTTTGTATAGTCTCACGAATTGAAACAGAATAATGTTCACCTCAATTAACAAACATGAAATAGTTAAAATTAAAACTAGTTTACCAAAGATATTCGAAAATAAAGACATTTCAGATTCGTTAGTCTTGTTGAATAGAAGTCAAACGAAATCATTTCATCCTTCATGAAGGACAGGAACGATTATAAAGATGACACGCAATATGCCGTTTGTTTATCTGTTTTTCACGGGAATCTTCATTAATATTTCTCGACATAGCCAACATCTGATGAAATAATCACTTTTCATTCAAGCCTTTGTAGACATTTTTGACAGATGAATCAATCTTCAGTACTTTGAAATATATTTCATAAAATTTGACAAGTTTACCACTAACCAAATAGTCAATTATTATACAAGGAAAAAAAGTAGTCTATTTTAGCTCCAGGTTGTGTTGTAATAGAAAAAACAAATTTTTAACGCCTCAACACTTGCTTTCCTTACTATTTTTGCATCTTTTACCTTTTAAGCTTCTTCCGAAGATGTGAGGTTAGGTGTTATGTGTTATGTGTTTATTTTGCACGTGAAATTTGATCTGTATACATTTCTGTTCTATCGAAGACTGGAACCATTGCCACGATAATTACACTACACTAATTTACCATTAACCAAATCGATTTTTCAACGACTCGACGATTGTTATGCTTTGTTGGCTTCTTCAGGAAAATGTTGGAGAATATCAACCTTTTGATTTTATATGAATAAGTCGGCGTGTTGCATTCATTAAATATTTTGACTATAGTTTTCATTTGAATACACTGTACAACTATTCCATTGTCTTATAATCAGTGCATTTTACCATTTTGAATAACGCAATACTTTCTTTCATGATTTTCAGGCTACTCAAGACTACCTACATGCTCAGAGAGTCCTTCAACAATATGGTGACATGCCTTCGTTCCAAGGTATAAAGAGCGACTGTGAATCAATCTTAACCGAACTCAAAACTGAGTTACGGAAACAATTTGCGAATCCAAATGCATCTGCAAAAGATTTAGCTGAATCGGTCGACTTGCTATTGCAATTAGAAGAGCCCCCGAAAGAACTTTGTTTAGAGTTTTTGTCTTGTGCAGAAAAGCGGCTGAGTGAACAATTGGTTATGCTGAAAGACCAGAGTGAACAGAGAGACATCATTGAATTTGTCGATTTAGGATGTTCTGGGTTCTTGAGCGATTTGTGTTTAGTGGTCGCTTCATTCCATGATATGTTCATTAATAGGGTGAACATAGAGAATGTAGAGAGCAGGTGAGGTTTATTACAAATTGCTAAAGATACACGATTATTATATTATATATGTATTGACTGGCTGAAAGTATGTAGGGTATGAAAATCTCTATAATGGAAACTGAATATAGAGAAATCTTTCAATTGAAGAAACTATCGTTTAGGATTAGTTTTGGATGTTGTATTTCATTATACATTCCAAATACACTCAGTTCCAAAAAAAGTGACGCACTTGATATTTGACCTATCTTCTTAAAAAAAAAAACAAAAAATTGTAGGTCGATTTTTATTTTTTTTTCCATTTGTTGGTATGTAATGCATTTGTCTTAAAAAAAATAAAGAGGTGAAAATTTTTTCTAAGCCTCCTTGATGGTGGTGGAATAACTCGAACCATGATTAATTCTTAATTTTTGACTCACCCTGTGTGCTTATTGAGTAATGGTATACAAAGTGCTTACACCATATACGAAAGAGGCTTCTTTTGCCAGCATTTTGTTTTTTTATTTATTGATTTATCTCTAAAATTTTCCGAATTACAGCTTTTTTGCTGATACCTTACGGTTATCCCACAAATTAAATTTATTGAAGGATCAGAGTACTCAAAATTGATTGGGTTGTACTCTGGTAGGATCACATTGTCTTTAAAAAAACAAATGCCGTTGCCATAGCAACTAATTTGTTGTATGCCTCCATATTTGACCATTTGTCGTTTTGTCATTAATTAAGTGTCTTGTTTTATTGACTAAAATTACATACCAACAAATAAAAAAAAATAGAAATCGGCCTATATTTTTTTTTAGAAGATAGGTCAAATATCAAGTGCGTCACTTTTTTTGGAACTGAGTGTATTATCAGAACGATCCTATGACCAGTTCTCGGGCATAATTGATTTTGGCTGTATAAGGTATTTCGTATCTCTTTGAGTTTTGTGCTCTAAGCCGCGTGATTAATCTGTCTCAGAAGTTTCACATCTGAATTTCACCTCGAACTATGGGGCATATATGTATTCATGGAAATATAAAATTCATGAAAATAGACAAATATTGAGAACATGAGAACTTAGATAATAAAAAAGTTCCTGGAAAAGCAATCACTATAAATTTTCAAAATGACCCATATTGACTATCAGGCAGTAGAAGTAGAGTAGAGAAAAATTGGAATGGATTTTTTGATAATTGTTGAATAATGAGGTTGTACACATATCTATTTTATATTGATCATTCCATATATTAACAGTATTAGATACAGTCGTTGACTATTTAAAATTATCACATGTATATTTTTTTATAATGAAAATAATCACCTTTCAAATGCGAAAGCTCTCGATAGATAAGTCGTGTATACAGGGTGAGCAATTGACACGGGAAACCTCTATTGCACCTACACCTTTAATGATATATCAAAATGAACCAAACGGCACTGCAAATGGAAGGTCAAAGTGCAGTTGTAAAATTATTTTGCCCTATACCATTTTCGCATAGCAAACTTATAAGAAAAATGTTTCACCGAAACAGATCTATTGAAATTAATTGGTTCATTTACTGTCTTTATTTATATCAAAGACTGAAACATTTGGCATGATAATACACTACACTGTGTTACCACTAACCAAACCAATTTTTTATACGCCTTGACACGTGTTTCGTTAACTATGTCTAACTAACTAACTAACTATCTTCAGAAGACGAATAAAACTGACTTATTTAAATACTGTCTGTAGGTTAATGGAGGAGGTGGTACATTCATTATCCCAGATTTTTTGGTAGTTTCTCCTTGTTTCTATAAAATGGAAATATGAATATTATTTCAATATACGTTTAGTAAGAACAAATCAGATGATTCGCCCCAAAATGTCACTGCGTTCATAGAATTTTCCTATCAGAGAGCCTAAAAGAAAAATTCACTAGCTTGTCAGTGACAATTTGTATTGACAAAAGTTTGGAGAAGATAAATAAAGGTATATAGAAAAAATATCAATTTTTTTTCTTAGCTTTGGGCGTTTCGGGAACGAATCTGTTCCCGTTTTCAACATAAAAAATGGATTTTTTGTATCGCAAATTCGAATTTGTCCTGACACTTTTCAGTTCTCAGTGACAATTGCTGACGTTGGCAATCAAATGAGTTACAGGATGTTTTCATTAATTAATCTTGAATTTACCATTTTCATTTTCAGATTTCAACAGTGAATACCATGTTCTATCTATATGAGTTACAGGATGTTTTCATTAATTAATACCATGTTCTATATATATCTCTATCACTATTGAAATCTGAAAATGAAAATTAAGGATCAATTAATGAAAACATCCTGTAACTCATTTGATTGCCAACGTCACCAATTGTCACTGAGAACTGAAAATTGTCAGGAGAAATACGGATTTGTGATACAAAAAACAAAAACTCTATTATAGCTATTAACCTAGGTCCTTTGCGTTAATAATATCTATTAAGTTTTTTCGATTAGTTATGATGGATAGGTCATATAAAGAACCAATGAAATGGCCTGCTAGGTTGCCTGACTTGGCAACCAATGATTTTTTCTATGGATTCATTTTAAATCCGTTATTTATAAAATTTAACTGACATTGCTCAATCGGAAAGGACGATTATGACTAAATGTCAGGTAATGGCGTGAGTGAACTGAGAGTCATTGGGAGTCATCTTGAAAATTTGTTGTGAATTAATTTCTGATAATCTATTTCAAACATGAATTTACTCTGCTTTCAAGGATGAACAGGGTTATCTATTTGAAAGGCCCACCCCTATAGATATTAACGTTGTTTTCTTATCGAGAAAAAAAAACAATATGTGGAAGTTGAATGCCCGATAATGAGGCTTTTCCACAGCCCTTGTCAAAAGCTTTACAGAGTGATCCCTAAGAGCGTGACAAACCACAAATTATTTTTTTCAATGGAATACTCTGTATTTTATATTTCCTTCTCAATCTGTGAACTTTTGTGATCACAAATATATACAGGGTGTCTCTGAGAGATCTGTACAAAATCGCAGCGAATATTCAAAATAAGATGAATCATCAAAGCAACTTACCCAAATTGCTCCGTTTCCGAGATACAGGGTGGTAAAGTAGATGAATAAAATCGAATTTTTCAGAATGTATGAACATTTTTGAACATATTATTCCAAAAAATTGATATCCAGGGGATTTTTGGGATGCAAAACATGAATACGGACACATTTTCACTGTGGCCATTAGAGGGCGCTCACCAGTAGACTCCCTAAGGTTTAAAATGGCCATAACTTTTTTCTCAGTGTAGTTTATCACTTTATTTGTTGTGGTAATAAGTTCCGAACATTGTCAAGCAAAAAAGATTCTCATGTGAGAATCCGCTGAAGTAAGTTGATTTCGTGATATTTCGATTTCAACTGTTTGATGCAGCACCGGAATATTTGAATTATTTGGAATAAAAAATGTTTGCTGTTATCTTCGGGGATGTAATTTGATCAATTAATTGGCAGTGCAAAAATTTATTTTTCATAATACTTTCTTGACGTGTATGATTTTTATTTTTTATCTTCAACACCCTGTATCTCGGAAACGGGCCAATTTCGGACTGCGGTGTGAATTGCTTCAAGTCGTCTCAATCTGAACTCAGGAATATGTGCCAAGATTTTGTACATACCTTTTAGTAACACCCTGTATATATACAGTGTGATATCTCCTATTTTCACTTCATCACCACTCTTTTGAGCCTAGTAAAACAATTTTGTCTGATTAATTGGTGATCGATCGATTAGATCAGGAATGTATTCGATAATGATGCAATATTCAACTGTCAAATATATCCCCGTTCATGGCTAACATTCACAGATTCCTAAAAAAGTATAAATAACAGAGTGTTCCATTAAAAAAAGTGGTGTGTCACGCTTTTAGGGATCACCCTGTGAAACTTTTGATGAAGGCTGTGGAAATGCCTCATTACGGCATTCAACTTCCGAATATGTTTTTTTTTTCTAGATAAAAAAATAACGTTAATATCGGGTTGTGGGCCTCTTCGATGGATAACCCTGTACATTTGAACTCAAATATCTGGAGAACTAGTGTCAGAAAATTTTGTATGATACGACCACTATTCCCTATTAAAATTACGAATGAGGTGTTCCTGGGGAGTAGGTTGTGGAAGTATGTGATACTTCATTCGCCTCATACAGCGTCTACCTTTGAGTCTGTCTAGAATCATTTTTCTGGGAGTAATTGTGGTTTGATAGTTGGAAGTGAACTATTTTACTATGGCATAATGAATATCACTGATTGATTATACTTCCCGTACTATTATTCTACAAACGATAATTATGCTCATTTTTTATTTTCAGTGACATATTTGAAAACTTTGCGGCAGTAGAATTAGATTCCTTTGTTAAACAGAACATGGAAAAGTACTTCAATCTCGTTCAATCCAAGGTTGATTCTGAGCAAGATGTAGGAGACACTAGTACATTAGTGCAAGCTCTCGATAAATTTTATAGACGAACCGAATTAATAACGTTATGTAAAGATGTGGATTTCGCAAAGTAAGTTGAATTTATGATAACTCAATGTCTTGAAATGATTTCGTTTAGATGTTTGACGAATTGATATCCATCATACAGGGCTGTGATTAGAGGTCTGTAAAAATAACAAATTTGTATTGTTGTTTGAACTCCTTGATTGGGTATGAAAGTATAGAGAAGGAATATTCAAATGAAGTCATAAAGGTAACCTCTTTGTGGGAGATAATTTCCCAATATCACTGATATAAATGTATTTTGTTTGGTAGTTTTAAGCTCATGAAGATGAGATTTTAGGCAAGGATACATCTCCTATATATTTCCTATATATTTCCTTTCGAATACTGAATATTATTGGTAATTTATATTTTTATATATATATATCACATTTTTTTATTTATGTATTTTATTCATTTTTGAAGTAACAAACATATCAGCGTACTAAACTACTTACCAAATGAAGTGGGACAGACAAAAATTTGTCTAATTTTGATAAGCTATAACTCGAACATTTCTTGGCAGATGTTGTATTTTCAACCAAAGGTAGAAAGCGTCATCCTTGGGCTATGCGTCATTGGCGTCGGGTTTTTATTTTTGCGATTCGTTCTCTTCGTACAGAGTGTAAATTAAGAGCCGGAAAAATTTCTAATTTTTTACCAATGATTTGGGAAATGTGAGGGACCCTAGAATCAGTTTTTTGATGTTGGGTGAATGGTTGGTTCGATACCTCGAGACGTCTTTGAAATTGTTTTGATAAATTGCGTTGCTATGGAAAATTCGCCATTTTTTGAAATTTTATTTTTATTTTGAAATATGGCCTGTTTTCGTTAAACAATAACAGCCAACATTTGAACTGCAACCAGGGATATTTCTACTGAAGATAATTAACACCAGTGGCGCGCAAAAAGGGGTTTATGATATTTAGAAACGAAAAATTCGTTTTTATTGAAAAACTTCAACCAGTTTTATTGATCGTTACAGTTGAAGAGGTGGCATATCCTTGATTAGCATGATGTGGACAAATTCAGAGGCGCGCAAAAAAAGGGTTCATGATATTTAAAAACGACAAAAAAGTTTTAATTGAAAAAAATCAACAAGATTTTTTGAAATTTTTTCTGAAAAAATTAATTGTACGGCTCGAGAAACATCAGAAGCCAGAATTACGTTTCTGAATCTTCATTTAAAAATAATGATACAAGAAAATTTTCACTGGGCGAACAAGTAAAGAACAACACTGGAAGAAATTATTAAAAATGTTATCATATAATAATAATGGCTTTTATTGATAGGGAAATGAAAAAAAAAAAAATACAGATCCTATCAAAAGGCAGGATTCAATAGACGAATTAGAAATCCAAGAGATCTAATTCGCTTCTTGTTCTTCCATCCAACCTCTACATACAATAACTATAATTTGAATAATAATATATATATCGTTAACAGCAGGTTTTTTCAATATCATGAATTCAAACGTTTCGGAAATAATACATTGGGGCATGATATACATAAGCGAACACACACAAAAAAAAAAAAAAAAATAACATACATATTCGAAAACGATGTAAAATTTTGTAAACACATATTACAGGTTGTTCGAATTGGTGTGTAGTGGGGCTGTCCATGATGAAAATTTATGAGACGTAATCCAACAGTTGTGGCAATTTGTTGTTCAGTAGATCAAATTTCAATTTATTTTTCATTACTTTTTTTGACATTCCTTTATAAGAGATCGGGAGCCGGTTATAAAGCCAGTAGCAGTAGTACGTGAAGGAACCTTTATATCTGGTGGTTTTGTATCTTGGCGGAGATATCATTCCTTTGAATCTCAAATTGAGGTTATGTACATCTGTTCTGAAAGTAATTTTGTGATACAAGTAGACAGGCCGTTGTGAACATATTATTTTGTGAAAAAGCACACAAGCGTGAAGAGTTCGACGCATTTCCATGTTCAACCAGCCGATGTTAGCCAAGTGCTGCGAGATGTGCTGCCTCCTGTTGATTCCGGATATTAACCTCACGCATGAATTTTGCAGCCTCTGCACCCTGAACCTGTCCACTCTCGTTAAATTTGGTCCATAAACAACGTCTGCATGATTTGCATGTGAAAGAACTAAAGTTTCACATAACATTTTTTTCACAGTAACATTCATTAGTCTCCTGTTGGAATAAATCAATTTAAGGCTGCTGTATCCTTTTTTTAAAATGTTCGAAACATGTCCAGAGAATCTTAATGAGCTATCCAACATCAGACCCAAATTTTTCACTTCATCCTTCAAAGGTAGTTTCACCCCATCGACTAGTATGTTGATATTATTATTATTACAAAGCTTCTTTGCTGACGGACGACCGAAAACCATTACACAAGATTCTGTAGGGTTAATAGTGAGGCAATATTTTCTAGAAAGCAATAATAGTGACTCTATATCTTGACTTATTCTTGTACATGCTTGATTCAGTTCATTTTTTGTGAAAACCATAATTATAAAGTTGGGTGTCATCTGCATACGTGTGTATTGACGTATGATTTAAACAACTTGGAAATTGCGATGTGTACAATGTGTGTGTACAATGTACATTTTCAATCGTTTTAAATTCAGATTTGATATTATTGAGGGTAACGCATTGTGATCTGAGACAAAGATAATTTTTAATTAGATTTATAGAGTTATTTGAAAACCCGAGGTAGTGTAAAAGACTCAATAACATTCCATGATTTATTCTGTCGAAAGCCTTTGAATAGTCTAAGAGAACGAGGATACATAAGGAATTATTATCTGAAGCTGTATGAAAATCATCAACCACCTTTAAAAGTGCAGTAGTGCAGCTGAAATCTTTTCTAAATCCAGATTGACAGTTGGGTAATATGTTGTGGGCTTCGACATATTCCTTGATTTGTTTATTGATTACTTTCTCGAATACCTTAGACAGAGCACATAAAATGCTAATAGGTCGAAGGTCACTAAATTCTTGAGGGTTTGAGTTTTTGGCTAATGGTATCACGTATGATTTCTTCCATAGCGCAGGGTAAACACTATTCAGAATACAGAAATTGAAAATATGAACGATCAGAGGTAGAATGAATGGGCAACAATACAAAAGCATCCTAATACTTATACCGTCTGGGCCGGTAGCATCTGATTTCATTCCTAACAAGAAATCATATATTTCATTTTCAGAAGTACTTGAGAAGTCAAACGAGTTAATTGAATCATTTTCAATATTGCAAGAGAAAAAATCTTGTAAATCATCATCAGGCGATGAATTTTCATTCGAAATAGCAGTAAAAAAGTCGTTAATTTCACTAACGTTGTTGATGTGCTCAGGGATAATTATTTTCATACTCTTATTATTATGTATATTCATATCTGATAAATCTTTCCAAATGGTTTTTTTATTTTTTTTCAGACGATGTTCGACATATGCTGTTTTTTCTAATACAACTGTTCGATTTACAAGGTTCCGTAGATCTTTATAATATTGCCAATGGTGCTCGTTTTTCGTCTTTTTGTATCGACCTAGTGCTCGATCTCTCAAATTCATCATGAATTTGAGATTATCTGTCAACCACGGTGACTTCTTTTTAGTAATTTTTATAGTACGCATCGGAGCGTGTGCATCAAATGTTTTTAACAAATAGTAGTTCAATAACTCAATTTTTTCGTCTATATCATCTGTTTCGTAGATTGGCTGAAAATTGCATAATGAAAGATCAGAAAGAAACCCATTAGATTTGAAATACTTGAAATCTCTAAATGTACACATTCTGCTAGCTATATTAGGTTCTATGAATTTGATCTTGAAAGAAACTAGACAGTGATCCGAAAAAGAAGAGCAGTCAATAATAGTACAGTCGCTTGCAGTTAAATTATCAGAGCATATTATCAGATCCAATAATTTACAACTGGTGGATCCATATCTAGTTGGTTCATTTACTAATTGTTTGAGGCTATATGAATTCAAGAATTCAATCTTTTTGAATCACCTTGAATGATGGATCCTCTTTAATACGCCAATGGATCACTTGGATGCTCACCTTGAATAAGTAAAAAACAATGATAATGAGACTGAAATTTTGATTTGTCACTCAGGCCTCTAAATTTGTCAACATCATGCTAATTGAATGTATAGCAACTTTTTGACTGTATAACGATCAATGAAACTGTCGATTTTTGCAATAAAAACGTTTTTGTCGTTTCTAAATATTATAAACCCTTTTTTTGCGTGCCTCTGAATTTGTCAACATCATGCTAATTATGGATATGACACCTCTTCAACTGTAACGATCAATAAAACTGTTGAATTTTCTCAATAAAAAAGAATTTTTCGTTTCTAAATATCATAAACCCCTTTTTGCGCCCCACTGGTGTTAATTATCTTCAGTAGAAATATCCCTTGCTGCAGTTTAGATGTTGGCTGTTATTGTTTAACTAAAACAGGCCACATTTCAAAATAAAAATAAAATTTCATAGAATGGCGATTTTTCCATAGCAACGCAATTTATCAAAAAAATTTCAAAGACTTCTCGAGGTATCGGACCAACCATTCACCCAACATCTAAAAAATAATTCTAGGGTACCTCACATTTCCCAAATTATTGGTCAAAAATTTGAAATTTTTCCGGCTCTTAATTCACACCCTGTACAAAGAGAACGAATCGCAGAAATAAAAACCCGACGCCAATGACGCATAGCCCAAGGATGACGCTTTCTACCTTTGGTTGAAAATACAACATCTGCCAAGAAATGTTCGAGTTATAGCTCATCAAAATTAGACAATTTTTTGGCTGTCCCACTTCATCTGGCAAGTAGTTTATATTAATAATAATATACATTTTTTTATAATATAAACATGATCAGAAAAGTTAAAAACTTGATCATGTACTATTTTTTTCCTTCCACTGACTAACTGAAATTCATTTTACCATTGAGTACAATTAACACATTGAATACATTTTTATATTGTCTAAAAATAACTATAAAAACATGAAATGTTGTCTAAGTATTTTATCATATAATCAAATTTCC